CTGTTTTTGAAGATAGCGAACTTACCAAGTTGTTAGATATTTCTTCTGGAACAACGTCGCCAATGTCAAATTTGAATGTTACAGTTTTTTTAACTGATTCCAAAAGACATTCAACAACGCTACCCTCATCAACACTTAACACCGTCAGTCTCGGACCACGGTCCTGGGTTTTTCTGCGTTTGCCAAGTTTCTTTTTTTGCAGAATGTTTACCAGATGCATCACATGACATGTCAGTTTGCTCACTCGCAGAGTCCACGTTGCTGGAAACGCTAGTAAATTAGAACCAAAAATATAAAGCAACAGATACATAAAAATTCAGAAGATTCACTCTGATTTTATGAAATTCTTACAAAAGATTCTCAACATGTCAGTTTGCTCACTCGCAAAGTCCACATTGCTGGAAACGCTAGTAAATTAGAACCACAAATATAAACAACAGATACATAAAAATTCAGAAGATTCACTCTGATTTTATGAAATTCTTACAAAAGATTCTCAACATGTACTATTATTTTTACATATCTTACAATTCAGGATAAGATCTATGGTACACAGCTTTATACATAACAAGAGAAAGGAACATATTTTTCCAACGTGTTTTAGAAACTCATTAAAAGCCTGTAATTACAGGAAAACATGCACCTTAACTACATTTTCATGTACCCATACAATCTACGGAAAAATAACACAAACGTGCTACATTACTTAAATTTGTTAGAAGTGACTTCCTTCAAACTTTTTGGAAAAGATGGAAAACTGATAAAAAAAATTAAATGTCATCTAACACGTTTAACATAGCTAGTTAAAATATTAACACAAAATTGTTATAATGAATTATAAGTTATTTTACTCATGAGCTTCTAGCACTATTTTCGTTACTCATTTCTAGACCTCGTTCATTATCTTGGCCTTATTCATAATCAGTATAGTGATGTCTGTTTGTATCTGGGAATGCTTTGTTTTAATACATATTTGAAACCTTACCTTTCAATAATCCTAGCATCATATGCAACCTGCCCTGCCTGACTTTGGACAATGTCCTGGTCTTGTACACTTTCCTATGATGTAAATAATAATTTATTTTCAGTGAAAATGTGTAAAGTAACTTGCAAAATTATTACTATGTTTTCAAGTTAATGAAAATACATGTTTACTAAAAAAATTGGGAAAATAAAAACCCATTTTTCAGATGTTGACCACAATATACAAGTGTTATTTTATATGTTTCTCGTGTAATCGTGTATAAACATTACAAAACTCTACAAATGTTACACCTAATCCAATATCAGTCTACTGATACCTAGCCTAGAATACTGCACCTTTCTCAAATTTGATTGTTTCTTCTCCTTAATTGGATTTTTCTGGGCTTATCCCAGTTCACACGCTTCTGTTAAGTTACTTTGGTTTTCCTGCCACAATTTGCAACAGAAAACTTTTCCAGCTGTTAAGTTTTAGTTCCTTTATTGATTTCTTCTATTAGAAATATTAAAGTCTATTACCATGGCATTCGTATGCTACATTTTCTTTAATATTTCAATTTTATTACCAGACTTAATTAGTTCACTGTAGTGATCTTTACTAACTGACATTTGATTCTGCTAATGAACTCGAACATCAGTGGTATTTCAGTATTTTCATCAGTTCTTTACATTTCCAGACCAAGTTTTCTTATTTTTATCGTAGTCTTTACGAGTCATTTTTATTTCTTCTTAACTATTACACTTATATTACTTGCAGCAGTATTGTTATGTCTGACCTCTTTTTAATAATCATTTCACCAGTCATGTTTTAGTCTTCTTCAATAATTTGATACATTCGTGCGTTGTGTACAATTCGTATAGTTCTTTGAATTTGTAATTTTCAGATAACTTACTCGCTATAATTCCTGTAGGAAGTGATTTCGTTAGATGTTATTCATTCCTGTCTCTATAACATTACAACTGGATTTGGTACATAGATAAACCCTTGTGTGCAAATTAAATAATTTTCACCACTAGGTGGTGGATTAAAAGTCAGATGATGGGTAAAGTAGTAAAGAGAGTTAAAGCAGTAACAGCTTGAGATGCCAGTATATAAACAAAAACATTTTTTTACCACTCATGAATGATTCTTACGATATGGATCCCCATTGGAGGTTCTGAATGGGTTCATACTCAGTGAGTAGCTTCAATTTGAGAATACACATTGCTTAAGTCCATACATAAAAAGAGATATGTCAGTGATGGTATATGTAAAGATAAAATGTAATCGATCAAGACTATAGTAAAATAAGTTCATCTATGTATCAAATCCAGTTGTAATGTTATAGAGACAGGAATGAATAACATCTAACAAAATCACTTCCTACAGGAATTATAGCGAGTAATTTATCTGAAAATTACAACTTCAAAGAACTATACGAATTGTACACACTGCACATCAAATTACTGAATCGAAACCGAAGTGGTATTATACCACAATACCTACATTGTCTTTCACAAGTTCTTTCTCCCTCTTCTGACTTCTTCCCCCAAACAGGTAACATCGGCATAAAGGTGTTGGTTGTATGTAATCCCAGTTACCATCCCAGATGGTAGTTATTTGTAAGGACATCACGTAAATATTCAGGTGTATAAAATTCATAGATTCAAGATTATGTTATACATTTGGTGGCTGGATGTGTTATACAACACTGCACTAAGGTGTAACAGAAACAGTTAGTGTCCCCCCACACTAACTGTTTCTGTTACACCTTAGTGCAGTGTTGTATAACACATCCAGCCACCAAATCTTGAATCTATGAATTTTATACACCTGAATATTTACGTGATGTCCTTACAAATAACTACCATCTGGGATGGTAACTGGGATTACATACAACCAACACCTTTATGCCGATGTTACCTGTTTCGATTATAAGGAAACTCGTTAATTATCTTTCCATTTTTGTATCAATAACAATATATATATATGTATGTGTACACTTACAAACCAAAGTCCTACTAAATAGTTAAATGTCGCCATCCATGCTTTTATGAAAAAGGCACATGACACATGTCAACTTTATTCCTAAGTGCTACTGACTTTGAAAGTGTAAGAATGTGTGTGCAAGAGAATATACTTGTCCTACAAGAAATCTATATTCTTATCTCTCATTCATATGTATATACTGCTAATACCAGAGTAGTATTAACAATTCTTCACAACATCCAACCACACATCCTGATATAGAATGTGGTCAAGGTTAATGTCCATTTTTACAAAACAGTGCTCATTTACACTTTACATTAAAAAAAATTAAACAAATTGAAACATTTAATTCAGAAATAATTTTTTAAACAGGAACATACTGTATATAACTCAATGCATTTGTTATGTATCATGACACTTAATACGTTGTCACTGTTATTCATGCCCTCACTGATAGTTTCTTAACTTAAGTAACTTTATTTTAATGAATAGTTATAAAAAAAAAGAGATAATGTTATTAAAACTATACTTTTGGTTGAGAAAGAATCATCTAAGAACTATAGGCAACAAAAGATTTGTTTCTTTGTTGTTAAGCACAATGCTACACAATTGGCTATTTGTGCTGTACCCCTACGAGTATCAGAACCTAACTTTTTAAGCAAGATAAGAGCGATCTAAAACAAAACTCTCCACATTTTTGCCTAAACAAATTTCTTGACCTGGTGATATTTCATTCATTCAATTTATTTAAATGTTAAGAATACTTTTTATATATTTGTTTCTAATTTAATTTCACCTAAAAGCAGTAACGCTTAAAATGTAGTCTACAAAAGTCTTCACTTGTGGTCTTTCTGTGTTTATTAGGTTTCTGACCACTGAGGATAATCTTACAGCAAATGTCAGGAGAAAAATTCTTCTTGTATTTGTAGTGCTTGATAAAATCCTTAATAGGATTCAGGAGAAAAGTTCTTCTTGTATTTGTAGTGCTTGATAAAATCCTTAATACTTTTGTGCTTATATGATTTCATCAATACATTTTTATTTCTGGAATAAACATTATGCCAACGAATTGTCATCAGTTTTCAATCAGAAGTGAAGCCTTTGTCCCATTTTATTCTAGTTGTAATTATACTTTTCCAAATATGTCCTTTTTTGTTTTGTTTTTCATATAAAACTACTGGGAGTGAGACCACAATCATGTTGTCTTTTTGAAAGTTTTAAAAAAATCATTAGGCTAAACAATTAAGTTGATAACGGGTGCACGAGCTCAGTAACAGTTTTATCAGAGAATAGGATGTTAACTCCACATGGGTTATACAAGTCTCTGAGGTGAGATGTATCATTACAAAGCTACTGGTAATAAACATGTTCAAAAAGAAAACTGAATACTAATGTCATTAGAAATCCCCTTACATGACCTGAGAGTCAGATATCTATGTGTTATGCATAGAGTAGAAAAGTACCCCAATCCATTGTAATTCACATCAAAAGTGTGGCATTACTTTGGGATTTTATTTACCAAGAAAGACAGCAAAGAAGAATAGACTTGCAAATCCCAATAATTTGATGACAACAAGTAAGAGAAAAAAAAATTGCTGCTACAAATGGTCTTAGAACCTGGAATGTGCTAAGATACAAGTATGCGTCAACATATAATTTAGTAAGAAATCTATTATTGCAGTTTTTTGTTAAGCCTAAAAACAAGGTCGGCTTGTTTGTTAAGCCTAAAACAAGTTCGACTCGTTTGTTAAGCCTAAAAACAAGTTCGGCTTATTTGTTAAGCCTAAAAACAAGTTTGACTTGTTTGTTAAGCCTAAAACAAGTTTGGGATTATGTACAGATGGAAAGAATAAATGAATGAAGTTACAGAGTAAATCCTAAGTTCATTCCCAAATAAACTGGAACAAGAACAGTATATTGTGTTCAAATGAAAATTATGAACCTGTGTATACAAAAAAAAAAAAAACATTCTTTCACTGTTTATGTTCAATTATAGCTTGAAATGTTCATAACAAATATGTATGAATATACTGTACACTATACTTGCTTTTCCATTTATTAGCTGAACACACATTTTCTAAATATTTTAATGATAAGGAGTATTATAGAAAACATCTTTAAAATAAATAGCTATTGAACTGATTGTTGAGAAAACCAAATATGTTAATTAATATACTAAAAATGTTAGAAAAGTTGAAATGCAGATCCTGTATTACAAACCACATTTTCCTTTCTTAGCTCACATAAAAACACAAAGAACACTGGTGGATACATGAGCAGCACAGAAGTTTTCAGTAGGTAAAAAAGCAATCACCTTGCTATCCGATCTTTTGTATTACAACCATAATATAAATATGTAGATGCAGTTGGAAAGTGGGGGGGAGTACACACAGTTACAACTTTCATTTTAAAACCAGCAGGGTACAACAAAGAATAAACACGAATTAAAAATTCTACGTACACAAAAACATTTCAACTAATTATATATAAAAAAAAAAAATTCAAGCTTCTAGAATTTTCTACATTTAGTGTAAATATACATAAAATTAAAAAACAAAAATTAGCTTTTTTAATCTTGCAGGATATCTTACAAGTTTCTGCTTAAGCAATTAATAGTTTATCAGAATATGTTTTTGATTTCATGTTTATTGTTTCAGGATATGGTATTATACATACAAAGATACAGACATGCATAACAGTGTGCAGAGACGGCAACATCTATTTTTAATTATCAGTTCAGATGTTCTGAAACATATTTAATAACCATACATTTTGTGAGTAATGTTAAGTTGCTTAAATACTGCATTTTTTTTGTATTGCTTACCAAACAATAAAATATCAGTTGTATTTTCTTCAGTCAGTCAGAGTTGTAATATTTCAACTAGTCAGATGAATTTTTTTGACAGTAAGTTGAAAAATGATATTCAACTGACTCGTGCCTCTACTTGAATTTTGTAATACGTCTAAAATATGTATATAAGAAGGGGAAATATAAAAAAATGTTGAAGTTCAGTGCATTATAACCTCATAAACAGTAGAGCATAGGAAGATGAAATTGTACAGAAGTGTTAACAGATGCCAGTTTCACAGTTGTCACGTACATTTGTGAGATGTGACATGCTGAACCACAAAACTATCTATCATCGCCTTATACATTTTTTTCAAGTAGATCTAAATAAGATTCAAGCAAATGTGGCTTCATAATTTTAAACTCAAAATGTTTTGAGTCTTTAAATAAAAGGGGAGTAAGCATCTATTATAAGTGTGAAAGTTAAGTAATGCCAACATGAACTTTGACATCAGATATAACAATGTACAAAACTAGTTAACTTGCGTGCATGTGTGTCACACCTCAATCCTGAAGCTTCTGGTAAAGCTTATGCAGAATAGACTAATAAAAAAAAACAAAAAAAACACAATGCACTTCTAGTGCTTACTGACTGTCTAAGGTACGACACCCACCTGATGTCCTTGATACACAGTAGTTGTCTGTTGAGGATATGTCGCTTGCCCGGTTTCCGGTCTGACAGAAGAGCATTCCTGTGCTGGAACTTGGAAACAGTTATCCGGGGGGCCATCAGCTGTAGGGAAAAATATTAAGCTACAGATTAACAGCAGATGTCAGTTAAATATTGTATCTGAAATTTTGTATTCTAATCATTCCAAACTTTACAAGTGACATACTAACTAATTATTTTTATACTTTCCTATGTAACTGTTTCCCACTCTTGACCTGATAGTTATTAGAGAATAAGCAGATAAGATTGGATAAATATAATAATTTGCCAAAACGTAATGTTTTTTTTGAAGGGGGGTATCTGCTGCAGTTTATATGTTAAAATAAAAATTATTAACCCTTTCTGCATCAGGTTTGGAAACAACTTTAAAAAAGTTTTTTGATAGCCTATTGTAATCCATGATAACAACATGTGAATAAATTTGGGCAGATAATTAAAAATACAACTTCAATAAATATTTAATCTTATCATATTCCTGTATTTTAACCTCTTGAAACAGTGCTAGAAGTACTTGAATTATGTACGTGGGAGTTTAACGATTAGCTACTGATAACCGAAGAAAGCTACAAATGAGAATACGTAATTCGGTAAAATCCAAAGTATACAAGAAAGAGCTGAACACTTCATAATCTCAGTTTCTGTTACTACTTCATCAGTGTTCAAATGAATTACAAACATATCAATCTTCACATCTAAATACCCCATTAAAATGGTTTTAGTACAGGACTAAACCCCAAATAAAATCATCTTTCATACACGACTAGAAAATAGTAGCAATAAATCTGCAAATAGTATTAAATTTCTAGATTAAAATACAAGATCTAACACTAAAACGTTTTTTTTTTTTTACTTTAATTGACCATATTATGTTGCTAATAATGTTTACCAAGTTTTCCAGAGTCTGATGTAAAGCTGGATGTCATACTGCTTGGAAGGCCATCTTCTGTGTCCACCTGTAACAGCTGCTGCCTCAAAGTTTCGGTATCGTTAACTTCACAAAGTTTTGTTTGTTCTTGAATTTGTGTTGAATATTGTGGAATCTGTATTCCCTGATTTTGATGTGGAAATTGCTGTTGAAATATTTCAGGCTGTATTGACTGTTGTACAGACTGAATTACCTGTTGTTGTGTCTGATAGTTCTGTAACTGTTGTTGAGGGAAGCTCTGTTGTGCTTGTGTTTGCAGAGGATGGCTTTCTGACTTCAAGTGTTGAGTAGAAACTTGTTGTATTTGTGGCTGTTGAGATAGCCCCTGCTGCATCTGTGGCTGTTGAGGAAGTCCCTGTTGCACTTGTGGCCACAGATGCAACAGGGCCTATCTCAACAACCACAGATGCAACAGGGCCTATCTCAACAACCACAGATGCAACAGGGCCTATCTCAACAACTGTTGAGAAAATCCCTGTTGCATCTTTGGCTGTTGAGGAAGTCCCTGTTGCATCTTTGGCTGTTGAGGAAGTCCCTGTTGGACTTGTGGTTGTTGAGATAGTCCCTGTTGGACTTGTGGTTGTTGAGATAGTCCCTGTTGCATCTGTGGTTGTTGAGATAGCCCCTGTTGCATCTGTGGTTGTTGAGATAGCCCCTGTTGCATCTGTGGTTGTTGAGATAGGCCCTGTTGCATTTGTGA